CTTTACACTTACCTAAGATGTCTGCAACTGAAACAAATACAATTTTTTTTTTTCTTAGTTTACTTTTGTCTTTTGCTGGCACTTGGTTAAAAACCTGTTTCACTGCTTGCTTACCACCTGTAGAAGCTATTGCTGCTAATTATGAGCTGTATTAGTACAATGTCTTAGCTGCAGTTAGGAGAGGCACCGGTTGTGCCAATGGTGACCATAGCTATGGGCAGATACAGTACCTACTTCACCCCCACACCTAAATATGGATATATACTGCTATAGCTCTGACTTGCCGCCACATATCTGTACTGCCTTCCCCCTCTGCGTTTCCTACTGAGAGAAGCACTTACGCCCCACACCTAGCAAAGCCAGCTGCAGCCTCTCACCAAAGGGTTTCTTACCCCCACTCTTACCACAGCCTGTCATGCCTGTGCAGCTGCCATATCTCATCTCCATCCCACAGAACAGGAGGCACAGGGATGAGGGCTGCTTCCTCTGGCTGCCCAACCAGCTGGCATCCTGGGAGAGCAGCCCCTCTCCAACCTCCAGTTTGGGTCACCCCCAGCTGCTCCTGTGGTGGCTCTGAGTACATGCTGCTCTCATCACACTGGCTGCCAGAGAGGAAAGGTTTTGGAGAGGAAGAGGAAAAAGGAGGGAACAGAGCCAGAAAGACCACTCCAGGCTTTCTGCATCCTCAGGAAACATCCTGAACCCACACCAGAGAGACCACCTCCCTGCTCAACAGTTGCTGTGCTTCCTGCAAAAACTACTTTAAATGCCGAAGAACGTCCTGAACTGGGTCTTGAGAAACCTCTCAAGGGCTGTTGCTTCAGTGAGTTGCAGTGGGAATGGTTGGGTAAGGCTCCAGAGGGGACTGCGGTGAAGCAGAGCAGCAGGCGCGAACGGGGCCGGAGGGGAAGCTGGGGAGGGCACCCTTCAGGCATGGCTGTGTCCCTGTGCAGGACCACTGCCCTGGCTGGCGACTCAAAGCTGGTGGCAGCAGCTGTAATGCAGCCAGCCTGTAGGGTTGGTCTCTTCTGTCAGATGGTGGCAGCATAAATCCATGGGAGAGTCTTGACCAGTGGAAAAAGAAAAGTGGGAATTCAGCAGCCAGTGTTCAAATCCGTAGTCTGATGTTGCCTCACAGCTGGGTTTAGGACCAAGCTTCCTTGTCTATGAGCTGAGAGCTTTTGTGAATAGCTTTAAGGTGTGCAAATGTAAGGCTGGAGCTCAATTTGTTGTGTGTGTGCCTGTCTGTCTTTATGCATGCTTTCTTTGTTCAGAGTTGCCTAGTTTTTGTCTACACACCTCTTACTGGTGCAAGTACCAACTGTGTAGGTGGTGCAGAGGGCAGGTACTACAACACTTAGGATTTATTTATTTTGTTTAACTGAAACATTTTTATTGTCTAACCTTAGAACAGGTGTATAGCTATATTATTACAAAAGTGCCTGGAATCTGAATAACTTGTTTCCCTTCCTGTGTGGAAAGATGCTGTGTCACTGTATGCACATTCATCCCCTTTAATTGCACCCACACTAGAGAGATTGTACCGTTGTAATGTACATGTGTAGTCAGAGCAGTACAACTTCATGTGCATGCAAAGCCTTAGAGGTAAAGACTACATGTGTTGCTTAAGCATAGCAGAAATTATTTTTGATGGTAATTTATTATAGGTAATTTTAATGAGTTTTACCCATAAATATTCATGTGCACGAAATCCTATGCAGGAATAAATGTGCTGTTAGCTAGGCAAGGTCCTCTGAAAAGGTGGTGGGGGAACAAAAGATGGGTGGAGGGTGAGTGAGATGGCTTCCTTCCGAAGTTAACATAGGAGATAACTGGTCTCATCAATTAGCCTTAATTTGGTGCTACTGCTGTGATAACAAACACTTGAGAACTGTTCCTCTCTCAATTTACATAGCACAGTAATGTCTCAGCAGCCTCAGAAGCCCAGAGGGCTCTGACAGTTTTGGGAGGACCCTTAAGGCATATTTGGGGTACCCACCAAGTGTGATGGTGCTAGTCTAAACCCTGCCTCCCTCTCTGGCAGCAGAGAGACTCTCACTGAGCCAAAAAGGATGAAGAAAACCATCTCCCCAGTGTGGTGCTGCCTCCGCCGTGGCGGGAGTGTGCGAGGCCACGAGAGGTGTCCCAGGTGGTGGCAGCGGTCCCAAGGAGGGACCATGCTGTGCAGCTGGGACCTCCCTGCCCCCTTGGCACATTGGCTTCGAGGCAGTGGCTTGTCACCTCCTCTGCCTGCAGGTGCCTGGGGTGCCTCCTGTGAGCCCCTGAAGCAAAATGCTCCTGGTAAGCATTAGGGGTGCTGCCTGCTGTGTGGGAGCTGATAAAGTCTTGTGGGCAGCATTGCTCACAATGCCTTGGGCCCACAAGCTAAAAATAAATGAATAATAGTAAAAAAGGGATGTTGGCCAGCTCGGGCAACTGTGACACCAGCAAAACAGAGCTTTGCCTGTGTCATGGCCATCTTTCCTGACCTTTATTAATGCACCCACAAGAGCATCAAAATATGTAGAGTTCTTTAAATGTTGCAGGAAAAAAGAAGTGGTGTAATCCTCTGGGTGATTAGTAGCAGAACTGAAAAGGTCTTAAGTGCTGACAAAGAATGAAAGGCTAGAATATTTAAGGAACTATCAAATTATCTTTCTACCACAGAGATGAGGATATTCCGCAGAGGATGTCTGTGCTTGTTACCATGCCTTTATTCCCTGCTGAGAACCTGAACATCCAGGGATGGTCCTTACAGATTTCCTTAATGAGCCTGCACTTACTTATGAATTTGCTTTTCTGCGGGGGTGGCGCTTGTCACCATGTCCCCCAGGACTCATTACAGGGGACGCTTTCTCTATCTGCGTTGATTGCTTGCGATGCTTTCTCGTTAGTGCAGCTTGTCCAGATTTGGTTCTTCGGGGAGAGGAGGGGACTGAAATAGTTTTCTGAGTGATGAAAGAAAGAGGGCTTCAAGAACAAGCAAAAATAATCCTAAAATTTAATTAAAGAGAATATTTTTTTTAAAGTGTGGGAAATAAGCCTGTGTGCTTCTGTGTGAGTGTGCAGCAGGAGGGGGAGGGAGACCAGTAAGAACCAGAACAGAGAAGCGCCTTGAGTGTGTCTGTGCTGCAAGCGTGGGTTTCCCCTCTTCCCTCCGCAGCCTCTCTGTGAAGCGTACTCTGGAGTAAAGTTTGCGTTTGATCGCCGATCGCCTCACGCTCTGCACGTAGCACTGTCGTTAAGCCATCATCTCGCTGGCCTGAAGCCAGGGCTCGGCAGCACGGGGTGGGCAGTCTTTCTAAACTGAAACAGCCTTTATTGATACATTGATGCACTGCGCATGTTTACAGCTGCTAATTGGAGACTTAATCTGAATATCCTTGACTGAACTAATTCGCTGGCAATAGCCTTTTAAATTTCAGGTCCTGCCGTGATGGTATGCCTGCTCTTCACAGCATGCTAGTCTCCTCTGAAACTGTATTGTCTCTGTGTGCGTGCAAGGCACGACGACCGAGTAACGTTGCAGCCTAAAATGTAGTTTTAGGTCAGAGGAGGATGTAAAATAAAAATCTTACTTGATTTTGCCATTGTAGAATACAAGAGAGGAGCACTGGGCAACTGGAGAAAAGCATTAACTGACATACATGCAGAAATATGTAAATTAATTAAACATAGAAGAAAGGAGGTTAATCCTTTTAATTATTAGAAGAGACAAAGATGCTCACTGCAAGGACAGTTGTATGGCAGTTATATGGCAATTTAGGTTTCTTTCCTTAAACTTAAACAGTATTCTGCTTTTTCCTGGCCATGCCAAGAAGCTGAACAGAGAATTTGGGTGGTGGTCTGAAAGCAAGAGGCATTATTTTACTTGGCTTTAAAAAAAAAAAATGCAATGTAGACAGCATACAAAGGAAGATGAATACCTGGGACACTCTTGCGCAGGAAACCACAGGTCAGATTTCTCTCCTCAGAAGCCTGGAGAACTCCCTCAGTCAGGTCCTTTTGCAATTTCCTGAATTGCCCCTTCACTTTAGGATCCCAGGGAGTATCCAGCAAGGGGAAAGCTCAACAAAACTCACCACTGTCTCCAAGGCTTGGTTCACAAATGCTCGCTATTCTCTTGGCAGTGGCGGACGGCCACCGCCAACATGAGGCATGGCTGTTCCATGCCTTCCCACTTCACAGCAGCATTGCTCTGGCAGCCAGCTTGAGCTTGAAGGGCATCCAGATTTATCTCTAAGTGGGTGTTCTGCTAAGAAAAGAAATAAAAAATAGTCATGAGCCGAAGCTGTCCTTCACATTAATAGGACTCTTCAGGCCATGAAGAACTAAATTTTGTTGCCAATCATTAGAAAAGCTTCCTAAGCCCCATCACAGATTCATTTAATAGGGAACTCATTTTTACAGCAGCATCAGTCTGTGATCTAGCTTCCTTACAGACAGATTCCATAAGATTTGAAAGCTTATTAGGGGCTCCTTGAGCTACCACTAGATAACATGCCAGTCATCAACAGCTGTGTGGCATGGAGATACTCCATGAGCAGAGCGTTCATGGGTAATTCTTTGGTTCTACCCTTGGTTCCAGAAGAAATCTACTAAGCAGGAACAGTTTTCTATTTTATGGTAATTAGAGTAATATCAGGTAATAACAGCCTTTTGGTTGGTAAGCAAAGAGAAACCAGTATCTTTGCATCTTTTTCCTGCAGATGAGAGCAATATTCTTTCCCACAATTCCCACTTTCAGGCTGTTCCTCAAAAAAATCTCCAAAATGTGCCTCAATGCACCTGGAAACAATAACCAAGCTAAAATGGTGTGTATGAAAGACCAAAATAGAACAAAAGGGGAGAGATGACCTTTCCAGTTCTTGGAAGATCTGAATCTGATGATCAAGGTCGCATATATGCAGGGAGAAGCAAGTACCAGACCACCTGGCTAAAATACTGTCCATGAAAACAGGATTTTTTGTACAGTTATAAGTACTTGCCTGGCAGGAAGGTACTATTTAAAAAAAAAAAAGGTGGCGATGGGCATCGTGAAAACAGCATTGTGCTCCTGAGATGAAAAATTTTGAGAATGGATGCATTTTCACTTGTGTGGCTGTGTCTCTAGCCATAGAAGTGTCTTCCCCTTTCCTCTTGAATTTTCAGGGTTGCTGATATAACACCAGACCAAGGAGCAAAAGTAGCTGTGATCATGTCAATCGGTTCAAGATATAGTGCTCCAGAGATGAGTCAGCTACCAGTACAGGGTCATATCAGCCTTTCATATCTTGGTTGCCATGCCTTATTTGGCCCTTCAGCAGACGCTTGTCACCTGCATCCAAGGTACCTTCGTCGAAATGAAGGAAGTCTTCAGCAAACTGTGCTCGTAGCTGAGTTTGTAGAGTTTGATCTGCTTTGTGTTTCATGAAAGATGGTAACTGCCCCAGCATTTTTATTGTTATTTCTGTTGGCTTTTTTGCTTTTTAGATGTCTTCTGTATGACTTTGGTTTAGGCCTCTGTATGAAGATGAAAGTTGAAGTGAAAAGGTGCAGGTGACTTGCCCTGCCAAATTCTAGCCCTTTCCCCAGTGTTTCTTAATTTCTAAAAATAGACTTCTTCCTCACACTACCTTTCCCTCTCTTGCTTCCATCCCTGAGCAAAAAGTTGATCAAAGAGAGGAGGCTAGGTTTAGGTCTATAAATCCAACTGCTGTTTGACTGAAGACTGGTAATCAAGTTATGGATGAGGAAATGAGGTACTGGTTTCTCATGCAATGCTGCTACTGAAGCCCATTTCATGTTTTGCGTGACTGAAGCAAGCAGGGTTTCACCCCCCTTGGAACTGATGATTCCCTTTCCAACAGGCACGAAGCTAATGTCTCTGATATTTTGGTGTTTTAACATAATTTTCTTCCCTCTGTTCCCTCCCATCTCTATGGAGTATTAAATTAGACCAATTTCCCTAGTTCATGCTTCAGTATAGCAGTTGAGTGTTTTAACTTTTATAAATTCAAACAAACTAATATTTAATAATGTTCATGAATATTTTATACTTAACCATTATAAGCTACACAGTAGAAAACACTTGGGCACAATTGGGTGCAACAAGAAAGTACTTAAGAAACACCCCGTTGTGCCTGTGTGTCAGACAAGCCTCAACTGCGAATCTCTTGTCTTTGATCACGAAATGTCAGACTACTCATGTTCTTTTAATGTAGAGCATGCTGTGTGCCTTTCCCTTTCTGGCTGTACAGACTGTGCATGTCTACAAACTAAAATCAGGTTGAGTACAATATGCACTCAGACCTAAGTCAATCAAGTGAATCCTGGTAGTCCTAATTTCCTAAAGTCTGGTCAAGTGATTTTTGTTTGCGCTTTAGTTCAGGACTGAGAACCACATATTGGACTGAAATTTGGGAAACCTGGAAGTGTGCAGCCAAATAAAAATGTATCTGAAATCTATAGTGGCTATAGAACTGTTAATTCTTATTAATACCTTGGTTTTCTAGACAACCATCATAGTGATATTGTAGATCAGTATTGCTTTGTATGTATATAGTACCTTTAATCTAACAGACTTTACAAGTAATTTCTGAACGTAACTATTTGATGTACAAGCTGTATGCAGAGACGATCTATACTAGGGATCAAAAGTAGTAGCTGTTCAACAATACACAGGACAAATCTGGTACAGAAAATGGAAGAGCATATTGTGGAGTCTTTAGCTTAATCTGCAAGGGTGGTTGGTGTTGGCAGGATAGAGTTACGCAGGTCAGAATTTTCTCTGCTGGTTGCAAAGGTCATACTAGTTCTGAGAGGAAAATACGGGATCAGTATAGGGTTGCAATACCGCCTGTACAGTCTGCACTAGGAGTACACTGGGGCCCTGGCTTAGTGCTAGCAGGCACGGAGAGCATCTCCTTCTGACCTGCTGTCATCACTGCTTCCTATTAAGCAGTGTTCGTTTCCACTTATGAGTGTTTTCTAGCTAAGGTATTCTCTGAAGCGTTTTGTTCCAAGTATCAGTCCACTCCAGCGCTGCTTATTTTATGAAATGTAGCAGAATGATGCCTCACAGCATGGTCCTGGCTATCAGCTCAGAGATTTTCTTTTTCCCCTTGCTAGAAGCACTGGGAGGCAGGCAAAAATCCTCTCTATGGAACCGTTGTTTTTTATCTGCCTCCAAACTTTGCTGATGTCCTGCAGTTTGACTTGCAGATTTCTCTGGCTGACTTGGGTGTAATACTTAAAGACTGAATGATGAATAACTTATTTTTGCAAGCTTCTGTGCAACATGGAGTTTACTGATGATTCCTGGCTCCTTACTAAAGCTGGTAATTACTGCTTGTTTAACTGGTCGTTGATTTGCACTCTCTTGGGAAACCTAACATCTCTGAAAATGACAGTGCAGAAACCGCAGTCTTTATGATTTGCTTTTCATTTTCCAAGTTTTGTAGGCTTTAATTTACAACTGTCGACTAGACCACCAGAGCATTGGTCTTCAAACTATGGCATGTGTGTGTGCGACTGCAAAGGCATGCATCTGTATATCAGAGGTTTTAACTGTTCAGCTGTTGTTTAAGACAAACTTGTCTATTTTAACTTAAAATATTGGGGGGGGGGGGG